ACTCAAAAACAGTGGTGCTGACCTTGCAGAAGTGGAAAGCACAAACTTGCTGGATGTGGGTGTGCAGTCGGTGCTCAGTAACGTGGTTTTGGGCACCGAAGTTATCCTGAAGTCCTCCACAGTAGTAAAAGGGAGCGATCCAAGGATCACAAGAGCTGGTGACAGTGTGGAGGGTGTTACCGCTGTAATCTGTGGTGCCACTGGTGCCAGATGAGAGGCCATTGGTGCTGCATGTTTGTGCCCTCTTCTGCACCAGAGATGGTATTGGTGCCAACGATGACAAAGTGAGGCTTGGCTTCCTTCAGTGCTAATGGTGCCTCAGCCAGTTTGGTCTTTGCTTTTGTTAGTGCCAAAGCGGTCTCAGACTGCCAGTGGTGCTGATTTAGACTTTGGCTTTACTGGAGCCTTGGTGCCTGTCTTGGTAAGGTCCTTGGACGCTCGGGAACTGTTGGTACCAGACAGTCCCGGTACTTCCCTGTCCAGTGCCCTGATAGATATGGTGCAGGGGGTATCCTAGGTGCTTGCCCCCATTTCTTTGAGTAAGATCTCTTCCTGGAATGCTTAGATTAGAGGAAGTCTCTGGTGCTCAAGTCCGACAGAGCCACCTTCTTGGACCTGGCTAGCGCACACCACCGGAAAAAGCAGAGTGGCAGCGGGGGATGCGGGAGAGGGATCTTGGGTTGATCAGGCAGAAGCGGGACAAGCAGCTGTTGCTGCTGCTAGGTCCCTTGGTAAAGGCAGCATGTGTGTGTGTGTGCCTAGCGCACACCACCGGAAAAAGCAGAGTGGCAGCGGGGGATGCGGGAGAGGGATCTTGGGTTGATCAGGCAGAAGCGGGACAAGCAGCTGTTGCTGCTGCTAGGTCCCTTGGTAAAAGCAGAGCAGCAGCGGGAGATGTCTGAAAGGGGGGCGTCAATCTAATATCAAAATTCCCCATGGATCGTTGGTTAAAAGAAGGAACTTTAAAGAGAAAAGTGAGTACTTCAAACTCCAGTATTTTTACTGAAACCAGCAAGGAAAATACTGAGGCAGCTCATGTTAATTATGAAAAATTTCAGCTGACTAATAAGAAACGCAGGTATTGTGAGGACTATTTGGCATTTGGATTCACAAGCAATGGAAATGAAGATGCTCCAGGTGCCCAGTGTGTAGTGTGCAACAAAATATTATCTAATAGTTGTTTAGTACCTGCTAAATTGCGAAGACATTTTGAAACAAATCATCCAGAATACAAAGATAAAGACATTAGTTTTTTTAAGCAAAAGCTTGAATTGCTTGAAAAAAGTAAACTCTTCATGTCAAAAATTGCCAAATCTGATAATGAAAATGCAACAGAGGCATCTTACAAAGTAAGCTATCGTATAT